TGCGTGTCTGGTCCTGGAAATGCCGCAAGCCTCTTCCGGAGGTTAAGCGCTGCGTGGGGAGGTGATGCCGGAAGGTGCTCCCAGGGCCACCTCGCGTCTCTTACGGCGCCGTCGGCCCCTCTGTGCTGTATCGGTAGATGCGCAGCGATGCCTAGCTCCTCCTCGCTCCAAACTCCGTGCCTAGAATAGCAGGAGGCTGTCCCTGTCCCCAAAGCAGAGCGTTGAAGCGGGACATTTTCTCACCTCTTTTTGTGTCCGGGGAGCGCAGCCGGGCAGTACGTTCCTGGCTTGTCAGAGGCCACCAAGGGGTGCAATGGCATGTGCAGAAACTCAGCCAGGGTCTCCCCGTGCTCTAGAAGCGCTCAGTTATTCGGTCCGGGGAACAGGTGGAATAGCAACCCCTCCGCGGGAGGGGGCAAAGTCAGCGTACCGGATGGAGCTCTGCCCTTTCGCCCTTCATCGTTTTGGGTGGGCTCATCGCCGTCCCGCTCGGGTGGCAGCACCCATCTCTTGCTTTTAGCTTTCCGCGTTCAGGCCGGTCGTTGGATGCCTGCAGTCCCTGTCCCAGCCCCGCTCAAGCCGGCAGCTCCCGGGACCGCTGCCGGCAGATCGGCACGGCGGTAACTACCCATGGATGCAGGGTTGGGGACCCCGCTTTGAAACGCAGTCCTGCTGCCTGTGTCTGGGACTGGCAGAGGCCAGCGCAAAATACCCTTCGCTTTCCTCTTGCATTTAAAGACCCCTCCAAACGTACAGCGTAACCCTTGTGAGCTGCGGTGGCTCGGAAACCTTTTTCTTTGTATGGAGAAGAGGCTGCTTGAAAAGGGGTGTTTGGTTTTTCAGTGGCTTGCTGGGATCCCTCCGGGCATTCGCAGATCTGTCCCCCAGAGTAGACTGGTTATTATCTATCATGTTGAGACGTCTTGGTCTCGGGAATTAATGCAGCCGAAGGGCCCTTCAGTGCGACTAACATGTCTCACAGTCCGGGTGACCTTTGTGAAAGTAGCTGTGCATGCAGCGCGACCGCTCTTGCAAGCATAATTAACTTGCTCGACTTTAATTTTTTCCCCTCCGCGTGCACGCTCGCTCAACAAATACCCAAAGGCATTAGTGCGCGTTACGTGCTAATTGCCTATAAAACTTCAGTCTAAAGAAGCAGCCTGGGATATGTTTATTAAACCCTTGCAGTATGTCGAACGGCAGCACGCGCGGCCCGAACGGGGATCCAGCCCCAGAGCTCGGGCTGGCCCAAGGGCGCGTTACGGTAACGCGCAGCCTCGCCGGCCGGAGAGTTTCCCACGGCCGCCGTCTCTGCCGCAGGCAGTGGGAGAGGAGAGGTCACTTTTTCCCCGGCTCCCGGCAG